AAGTTTCAAGTCGGAGTTACTGGTGAGGACGGACTCTGATGCATTGTTTTAGGCATCAGTGTAAAAGAAGGGGTATGTTTTCTAAGGGTTTGCTTGCGGTTAATTCTGTCTCTGGACCAGAAACCTCAGGATAGGGTGGAGATTTGGCTCCTGGATCTTCACAGGCCGAGAGATTGGAGGCAGGGGTGGTGGAGAGGTTGGTAGTAGACACTGAGTCTTGAGCACATTAGAAATCTGCTCTGGGAAGGCAGGAGCTGAATGAAGAGCCTCAGTCATTGCTGGCAGGTGGCAGGCCAGTGCAGATGTCAGGGCCAGCCCTCTGGGACTTCTTAGTGGGCGCAGCAAGGACGGGTTGAGCAGGTAAACAAGAACTCTCGGTTAAGGACAGAGCAGGCTGGCTTCGGGTGCAGAGTGGAGTATGTACGGGGTGGGTTTTGTTCCAGTTGTACCTTAGCTTTCATCTGCCCTTTCGGCAGCCCTTATGTTTATAGTTTTTGAGTGTATCTGTTTCCTATTTGATGTCTGAACGGAACCCCTGGGAGCAGGCCTGGCTCAGGGGTTGGGGGGTGTAGGAGGCTGAGTAGGCAGGCACTAGCAGTTAGGAGGTGAAGGTGATAGGGGAGGGTGTGGCAGTTTCTCTTCCTCAGAGTCAAGGACCCAGGCCTTGGTAGTTCTCGGTTAAGAAGGTGGGTTGGAGGCTGCCCGGGCCCAGCCTGGAGGGTCTGGGACACAAGTGCTGCCTCCATGCCATCCTGTCACCTTTCCTTTCTTCTGAGACTCTCTGCTTCTCTTCTCTGGTCCCCACTGAGTTTTGTTTTGGGTTTTTTTTCCCCATCTACTTCTCTTCCCAGCCAGTCAGAAAACTGGCACAGGGGTCGGTGAGGCAACTGACGGCATCCGGAAGGGGTGCCCTGGTGCTCAGCTGCATGTGTTAGCAACGGTGTGGTTGGTAAGGCCCCACATGGCACACGGGATCAGGCAGACAGGATCTTCTGTCTTCATCTGTCCGTGTCTCCTGAGAAACTTGTCCTCCTTCCCTGTCCCGGGTCTCTTCTGTGCTTCTGCTCTTTATGGAACAGACAGGGCTCCTCTCTGGTGATTCTGGTCTCTGTCTGTCCTGACATGGATCTTCCTCTGCCTTTGTCTCCCTCCTCCTCTGTGCCCAGCCTGTAAGTCACACCTCCAGGGCAGGGAGGCTCCAGGGCAGAAGCACCGTTTACCAACCACCACATTGACAGTAGCTCACTGGGTTCCCTTATCCATTAATTAATTATTCCCTTGCTTGCTTGTACTTCTTGTTTTTTTACTGTTAGCGTTTATTTTTGAGAGAGAGTATGCACGCGCATGCACACGCATGTGCATGGGGCAGGGGCAGAGACTGAGGGAGATGCAGAGCCCAAAATGGGGCTCCATCCCAAGAACCATGAGCTCATGACCTGAACCAAAATCAAGAGTCGGACGCTTAACTGGCTGAGCCACCCAGGCGCCCTCCCTTTTGCTTGTACTTTTTTTTTTTTTTTAATTTTTTTTTTTTTCAACGTTTATTTATTTTTGGGACAGAGAGAGACAGAGCATGAACGGGGGAGGGGCAGAGAGAGAGGGAGACTCAGAATCGGAAAAAAGGCTCCAGGCTCTGAGCCATCAGCCCAGAGCCCGACGCGGGGCTCGAACTCACGGACTGCGAGATCGTGACCTGGCTGAAGTCGGACGCTTAACCGACTGCGCCACCCAGGCGCCCCATGTACTTTTTGATCTCAGATGGAGTCAGAGGATAATTAAATTCTCCTTTGGGAATGAAAAGGGTATGAAAAGTTGTGGCACAGGAGGGATCTTGAAGCGTTGGTGTTTTTATCAGATCAGTCGTTTGACTTACGGGCCGTAGAGGCCGGAGGAAGTAACAGTAGCTAAGGGCTCAGGAGTCCCTCCTATATCAAGGCCGGAGCGCAGGAGGAGCACTTCCCTTCCGGACACTGAGGGTGAAAGAGCTTAGGGATGTGGTTGTCTCACAGCCACCTTAGGTCCTCACCTCCCTCCCCAGTAGCCTCTTCTCGCAGCTATTTCTAGCACTGGCAGAGAGGTGTGACAAGCATGGAATCTAGAACGGGACTGCGTGGACTTGGATTCTGGCTCTTCTTCTGTCTCTTCAGTGACCTGGGGCAGGTTACTTTACTCCCTTGTACCTGTTTCTTTCTTCATCTGTAAGAACAGAGCTGGTAGCACCTATTTCAAAGGGTTGTTATGGGATTCAAATGCAACCATATGTGTAGTATGGAGCACAGTGTCAGTGCATGTTAGCTTAGCATATTTGCTATCGTTGGTGATGCCCCTGGCTTTCCGAGGTAGGAGGTATGTTTCCAAGGTGCCCTTTGTGCTGAGACCCTGACAGCCTGGAGCTCAGTGGGTAGTGAGGCCTCTTGAGGCCTTCCTCTGGGAGTCTGCTCTCTCTAGAGAGAGGTGAGAACGCTCTCAGGAAGGGGAGCAGGAGCATTCAAAGATTGGCGTACTCTGCCTCACCTCTCCCAGGGCTGGGTGCACCTAAGGACCCCTCCTTTTTCAGTCTTGGCAGAGCAAAGGGCAGTCCAGAGAAAAGAAGAATGATGTTTAATTAAAGAAGTTCAGTTTGGTCCTGCCCTTTCTTTCTGGGGCCTTGGTCCCTGGATCCTTTACCCTAATGCTCCTATCCCTTTGCTTCATCTGGCTGAGTCAATACAGGTCTAAAAACCTCTTTGAGGTCCTTTCTGGTCTGTTCAACCAAACCCATCCTGCAATGACCTTTCACTGGCAGATGAAAAGCAGACGGCCTCCACCTGGTTTTGCTCAGCCTGTGGCATGAAACAGGGTGACAGTTTCTAAGAAGAGACATGGGGGGTCAAGGAGCCTTTCCTAGGAGGCTTTTCTGCCTTCTCGGAGAGTGGTTGCATTCCTTTTCCTACTGTGTGTGACAGGGCCAGGGTGGGGTTGGGGTGGAGGAGCCCTGTGGAAGGGCAGCATCCACAGGGCCACTTGAATCCCATGAGTGGTATTTAAGGTGGCGGGGGGAGCCTGTCCTCAGCCTACCGGCTGCTCACGACCTTGCTTCTCACAGTGTTACCGGGACTTGGCTCTGGTGAGTCGCGACGGCATGAATATTGTCCTGAACAAGATCAACCAGATACTTATGGAGAAGTACCTGAAGCTGCAGGATACCTGCCGTACTCAGGTAAGGCCGGGAAGGAAAGAGAGATCCAGCTCAAAGACATGCTAGAGTTTGGATCCCCTCTTAAAGAGAAGGGACAGAGGAATCAGAGATAACATGCCTTGCCTTCGTACACCTAAACCGTAACGTGGTTGGATTCACCCTTTCCTCAAATTTGCAGGCCCTTCTCTTCATCCGTCTTCTCCTCTCCCTTTTAGTTGGTGTGGTTGGTGCGGGAACTAGTGAAGAGTGCGGTTCTGGGAGCTGACGGTGTGTGCATGACGTTCATGAAGCAGATTGCTGGTGAGTTGATGGCAAGGGTGGAAAGCAGAGAGAGGAGCCCAGAGGCTAGGTGCAGGCTGTGGAGGACAGTGAAGGGCCTTGGGGTTTCAGTTCCTGGGTTGCCTGGACTGTTTTCTCCTGAGACAGGCCTCTTCCGGCCACACAATGATGCAGAAAGCAATGGAAAAATCACAGGGCGGGCGGGCGGGGCGGGTCTCTTGAAGCAATACGTCTTGCCTTGCCTTGTTTTCCTTCCTGCCAAACTCAGGGCGTGATGTAGAATAGTTGGCCTGATTTGGGCAGTCCTTACTCTGGGGTTTCATGGCATGTTGGATCAGGAAGGATCTGGAAGGAATGGGAAGAGAGGGGAGGGCAAATGATTTGTTCCCGTGACATTGTATGCTTTCAGAAACCCAGGTATCTTCCTTGGCTCCACCTCTACATTCCAAACTCTTGCTTCCAAATATTTATGACATCTGATGGGACCAGTTTGAGGAAAGAACTATGTCACTGGAGAGACCCTGACATTTAGGTTTTATTATCTCATTGGCATCAGTGACATCAGTCTGAGTCACTGAATATCCAAGAGGCCTGTCCATGCTGCCTCTTCTCCCCAAATCACATGTGTTTGTTTAAAAATGACCCTGCTTTGCTATCTCCTCATTCCCATTGGTTCCTCGCTTCCTCTTTAAGATTGTCTGTAACCCTGGTGCTCCTGTTTTGATGTGCATAAACCTTACCCTGTGTGATATGTGACTATGTGGACACTGACTTTTTTTTTCTTTTTTTTTAATGTTTATTTTTGAGAGAGACAGAGCACAAGCAAGGGAGGGTCCAGAGAGAGAGTGTGAGCCAGGGAAGGGCAGAGACAGACGGAGACACAGAATCTGAAGCAGGCTCCAGGCTCTGAGCTCTCAGCACAGAGCCTGACGCAGGACTCGAACCCACAAACTGAGAGATCACGACCCGAGCTGAAGTCAGACACTCAACTGACTGAGCCACCCAGGCACCCCTTGTATACTTTCTTTTTTTTTTAACGTTTATTTATTTTTGAGACAGAGACAGAGCATCAACGGGGGAGGAGCAGAGAGAGAGGGAGACACAGAATCGGAAGCAGCCTCCAGGCTCTGGGCCATCAGCCCAGAGCCTGACGTGGGGCTTGAACTCACGGACCGTGAGATCGTGACCTGAGCTGAAGTCGGACACTCAACCGACTGAGCCACCCAGGCGCCCCTTCTTGTATACTTTTAAATGGGTGAATTTTACAGTATGTGAATTGTACTTAATTACAAAAAAAAAAAAATTTAAAGTATGGAAAGTTATGTCTGTAATTTACTTCTAAATAGTTCAAGAAAAAAAGTACTTTTCTTGCAAATTTTCTGTAAATTTTTTTAAAAGTTTATTTACTTATTTCGAGAGAGAGCGCACACACATGCGCACAAATAGAGGAGGAGCAGAGAGAGAGGGAGACAGAATCCGAAACAGGCTCCAGGCTCCAAGCTGTCAGCACAGAACCCGACGCAGGGTTTGAACCCATGAGCCATGAGATCACGACCCGAGCCAAAGTCGGATGCTCAACTGACTGAGCCCCCCGCAGGCAGCCCAACACTGACTTTTTAAATTAGGAAGGAGCAAGCATGATGGTGTGCTGGCTCCTTTACCTCCTGGTGTTTCCTTTCCTGGTTTGGTCTTCCTAAGTCTCCGCTTCTCATCCTTGGACTTTGGTCTGGCATTGCCACATGTAATTTTGCCCCAGAAAGTTCCATAGCAAGCACAGAAGACCGTGGCCTGTCTTGTGCCTGAAACAAGAAACCCTTGGCCTGTGATGTGCCTGACTTGGTTTGGGACACCCTGATGCTGGATGGCCACTGTCACTGGCTGCCTGTATCTCAGGCCCTGTTTGAGATGTCACCCTTTCTTCCAACCAGGGGCTCTTCATGTCTCTGTCCTAGACATTCCCTTTCCAGGGTCAGAGTAGTCCCACTCCAACCCCCAGGTTATAGAAAAGTAGCAACTCTGGTTTCTGGAAAATTCTAGAACCTTCCTTTCTCTGTGGAAGCAAAGGGGAAACTTCAAAGCATGACTGAACAGAAAGCAGGTGTTCCAACACTCAGAACCTCCATGATGGGGTAGCAGTTAGGGATGGAGAAACAGGATGGGTGAAGAACTGTGTTGGATTAGTGGACTTGCTAACGAAAGCCATTCTTGTTGTTTTCTCCCCCTTTGAAATCAGGTGGAGATGTTACTGCAAAAAATATCTGGTTGGCAGAGAGTGTCCTGGATATCCTGACAGAGCAGAGGTAGAGTCTGCCATGATGGGTACAGGTGTGGGCGGCCTGAGAACACCTAGGGTTAGAGAGGGGGAGGGAGGGCAAGTGGAGGAATCAAGGGTATGGCATGGCGCAGGGGATTAAGGGGTGGGGAAGAGGTCTTTGCCAAAACATCTCAGAGCCCAGGAAAAACTAGCTTCATCTGATAAGGGTTTATTTTTGATCCAGACCTCCTTGGAATGTTTATCTTTGGGGGGAGACATGGGAGAATGAGCTCAGCAGAGTGGGGCCAGCCAACCACTCGGGCCTGGCAGGTACCCCTTTTCTCCCTTCTGAGGCTCTCCACCCAACAACCCCTGCTGTCTTGAGATGGGAGTGAGGAGGTAACGGGCGCAGGAATACTGCTCAAGTTTGCACACAGGGCTGGGGGGCTGCGGTGGTAGAGGACGTAAGGGGGACACGCTGGGCTTCTGGCCAGTTCTTTCTTTTTCCCATCAAAGGACCAGAAATTTTATAAGGGCTGTTCCGTATTTGAACTTGTTGGGGGCAAGGCCTCCTCTTGGTCTTCTGTTGCTTGACTTCTGAGTCTGTTTTGTGTGAGGCCACCACAGTAGTCAAATGTCCATATTTCCTGTGGTTCAGAAGAACAGACTTCCTCCCTTATTCACACTTGTTCTGGGCACTGCCCCAGCGGAGAGCTGGGTCAGGTGCCATGCAGCGCCACCTAGTGCCCTGGGCTGGGCTCCGCTGCGGCTCCGGCTCAGGCACTTCCATTGGTGCCGCTGCACAGCCCGGGAGATCCTAGCACTTTCTTGCAGGGTGTCTGTGCCTGTCTGGTGTTCTGGGTCCAGTGGTCTCACTTTCTTTTTCTCTTTATTACCCATCCCAGGACTCAGTTACATTCATCACCTTTGCTGACAGTCTTCCTAAATGATCGTTCTCATTTTGTTTCTGTTCTGGTACTGTAAAGCTGCATTTTCCTCATTTGGGCAGTTGGGAGCGGTCTCCGTGTACAGGTGTCACATAACTGCCCTACTTTTGCTCCTATCCCACAAAAACGCAAATCTTTTGGTGCAAGTGAGTCCCTAGATGTTTAAAACCATCTTCTTGGGATGCCTGGGTGGCCCAGTCGGTTTCAAGTGTCCAACTCTTGATTTCAGCTCAGTCACGATCTCACGGTCCTGAGATCGAGCCCAGTGTCAGGCTCTGTGCTGAGAGCGCAGAGCCTGCTTGGGATTCTCTCCTCCCTCTGCCCCTCCTCCACTCACATGCGCTGGCTCACTTGCTGTCTCAGAAACAAAACAAAACAAAGTCTTCTTCCACATCTCCCCTTCTCCCTCCTCCCCAAGTGTTTCTAGGGCCATGGAATTAACAGGTAGCACATGGGGGAGGGCCTCCCCATTGTCCTTGGATTCTGCGTTCACTCTCTGAAAGGAAAAGACCAGAGTCTTTTAATTAGGTGTCTTGAGCACTTTTCCGGAGTCAGGATGTTGCCTGGTTGGCTTAATTAAACTTGTTTCTCTGGTTCCCCGGCTTCCAGCAGGGGTGCCAAAGGCCTTATAAGTACTTGCTTGAGGGAGATAGCTCCCAGTTTTGGCACTTTGAGACAGCATTGGAGTTTTTGTCCTCTCCCCACTGTCTTTCTACCCTTTTGAAAGCAGCAGGGAGCACATTACCCCCTTCCCCCAGGGAAATTTAAAAACTCCTGAGGAAATAGGCTTTGCCATCCAAAATCATGTTCTTCTTTTCAGATTATGATTTAGGGCAGGTACCTCATTGGGAGTGGGAGTAGTGGCCAGAGAGCCAGGGAACCCTGTATGGCATGGAGGGCCGCTCATGGCAGGCACAGTGGCAGGGCTGACACAGCGCACCCTAAAACCGCCAGCGTTCTCAAGGTGTCTTAGCTTCTGGAGGTCCTCATTCCACTCTGTAAGAACTGCTGGCTTTGGGACACCTCTAGAACCTCTTTCCCCATTCTCTGGGCTGGGTAGAAGCTGTAGTTTAATCTCTGTCCCCAGTACCTCGCGTGGTGCTCGGCACATACATGACAGGTGCTCAGTAAATGTTTGAACGAGTGCATCAACGAGCAAGTATTTGATTGGAAGCTCAATAGTTATGTGAAAAAGAAAGATTGCTTTCAGTCAGCGCTTATCTCCATTGGGCGCCTGGTAGAGTGGTAGGAGGTCGTCCCTACCTGAGCCAGTTGGTAGTCCAAGATGGGTCACGAGCAAATAGTCAAGAAATCAAAGATCCTCCTCCCAGTGTCAATCATTGGACATTTCTGAGGCCCCAGATCCAAGTGTGGGCGTGAACTGGGAGGAGGAACAAGTCTGGACAGAGCACAGATGCCAGGTGTTTCCTCCCCCACCCCCCCACCCCCCTTCTGCAGGGAATGGGTGTTGAAGAGCAGCATCCTCATCGCCATGGCTGTTTACACGTACCTCCGCCTCATCGTCGACCACCACGGAACTGCCCAGCTCCAGGCCCTGCGGCAGAAGGAGGTGGACTTTTGCATGTCGCTGCTTCGCGAACGGGTGAGGGCTAAGACTGTGGGCAGGTGAACCCTAGGATGGGACACCTGTGTAAGTTTTGTGAGCTGACCTAGGCTAGAGATGTCATTTTGGGGAGATGGGGATGGTTCAAGGCCTGGTGTTTTTCCATCATTCCGAAACAGAGCAAGGGAGAAGGTGGGAATCTGCGTGGAGCAGCTCTGGCTCCAGGAACTGCTGTCCCTGGAGGAGGGATTTCCAGGCCCTCTTCATGGACACTGTTGTATACCACAGACCCCGGCTGCCCATTATTACGCAACCCCCCCACACCTGGGTGATGGCCGTGGTCAAGTGGGATTATGAACTGTCCACTCCGAGATCTCCCAAGAGAGGTCCCAGAGCTCTGATCTCTAATGCAGTAGCCACTCCCCATATGTGGCAACTTAAAGTTAATCAAAATTAAATTTAAAATTGAGTTCCTTAGTTGAATTATCTACACACATTTCAAGTGCTCATTAGCCACCTGTGGCTGATGGTGACCCTTTTGGACAGCACAGAGGTGGAGATCATTTCCATTACCATAGATTGTTCTGTTGGACAAGGGGAGTTTGGGGAAAGGTGTTTGGGGCTTAGCTTGCCTGTCCTGTCCTTTTGGAATTGTAGTCTCTCGATCTGGGTCAAAACCATCCTGGGAGGAGAGAGGAGTAGATTCATGTGAAAGTCAACAGGGCTTTAGTAGTTACCAGTAACCTATCCTCCTTATGTCCATCCCCGGCTTCCAGCTCTCTCCCCCAAGCAGCTGGGAGCCAGTCCTTTGGTGCCAGAAGAAATCCTCTGGTCCCTTCGGCCCTCTTTCCTTCCTTCCCTAGAACGAGCTGCTCCTTGGTCCTCCCTGCAGCAGGTAAATTATCCGTGTTTTCATTCTCTCTCCTGTCCCCCCTCCCCTCATCAAGTTCATGGAATGTTTGATGATTGGCCGGGACCTCGTACGACTACTTCAGAATGTTGCCAGGATACCAGAATTTGAACTGCTTTGGAAAGATATTATCCATAACCCTCAGGCCTTAAGTCCTCAGTTCACAGGTAAGGAAGGGCCAGGGCATCCTGCCCTTGAGAGGTGGGAGTTCGGAGTATGTGCTGAGTGAATCAAGAGGGCAGAGGCTGGAGGGTAGGAGAGGCTTTGGCAGCCAGAAATAGGGAGCTTGGGACAGGGCAGGTTTTGCCAAGTACAGCTGGATGTGGGGGTGGCAGGGGTCCAGAGCAATTCTTAGGGTTCCCAGACAGCCCCTGCCTGGCAGACTGCTGCTGCCATTGGTCCCAAGAAAAACTGAGGCAGAGCCGTGATCCTCCTCCTCCTCCTCCCCCTCCCCCTACAGCTCTCTGGCTTGGGAGGTGAGCTGATGGCCAGTTTCCAGGCTCACTGGGTCCAGCAGGGGAGTCAGAGGTCAGCTCGTGAGACTGAGTCAGCAGAGGGGCTGGGATTAGCCCTGTAAGAGAGTGCTTCTCCCTGGGATCAGTCTTGCCTCTGAATTCCAAGGATCCAGCCTAGCCAAAATTCTGTTCATGAGAGGGAGTCTTGTGTGCCTCTCCCTGACAAGGTCCTTTTGAAAGCCGTTTCCCCTTTTCAGGGTCCCTCCCCACCTCCAACACGCACGCATGTGCACATGGAAACAGTTGTCTGAGCCCTGGAGAGTCAGGAAAGGAGGGGAAGGTCCTGGTCCTCCTTTATATTGTATTGCTCTTATATTGAACATGTGTTGAGTTGTTTTGAGTGCTTACGTGTGTGCTAGACACGTGTGTTGATTCATTTAATCCTCAGGACAACCCTGTAAGATGGATATTTTACTTTCCATATTTACAGATAAAGAAAATGAGGTTCAAGGAGATTAAGTAATTTGCCCAAGGCCACACAGCTAGTGAGTGTCAGAGGCAGGATTTGGATCCAGGTCTGTCTGACTCCAGAGCCC